TGTGTGAGGGGAGAAGGAGGCAGGCAAGTGATCCTGAATCTGAGCATCCAGCCGATCCTCCCATCCCTGGTGGTGGGGAAGCATTTCCCCCGGCAACATTTATACTGTGGAATTCCTTCCTCGGCTGACAAATAGCAGCACGGTGGGAAGTGCAAACACTCCTCCAATGCGCCACACCCACACGTGAGTCATATGTGGATTTTTTTTTAACTGACTGTGCTTCCCGGTTGCCACACTCCGTGACGGCTTTCCAAGTAAAATCTAAATAGATACATAAGAACACATGCAATGAAAATACCAGAAACCAAAAGAACACGCATACAGTAATAGCCACTGGTTTACATGCGGCTGCCTCGCCGGTTAAGGTCGGGCGATGCTGCCGGAGTGAGAGGGGCCTTCTTTTTCCCACCCGAATCACTTTTACTTGCCTGCAGGGAGGGACAACCTTGTTATTAATTGCTGTACGACGCTGAGTAAATTTGTAGGTGCCTAATCGATGAAACCTGTTGTGCGCATAAAATCACAGCACTGTGTTCACTTGGGGTGTTTCGAGGCAGGACTTTGAACAGGTTGCTCTCCTGCTTCATTCCTGGGGTTTTCCGAGGGGTCCCACCGCCTTGTTTCCGTAGCCCTGTTTTGGTTCCTACCAGGGAAAATCCATGAAGAGGGGAATACTTTTGTCATTCCTTCTGGGCCTCAGCCTCAGGGTGCACGCTTGAAGAACGGATGCATGAACATGGCCATCTGTCGACCTCCAGGCCAACACTGCTTGGCAGGGAGGTGCTCCTGGCCCTCAACGCCCCCCCCCCCCGCCCCTCCTTGGCGCCCTTCCTCTGGAGCCAGCCTCACTGCCGGCCAGGGAAGCAGAGCTCTCCTGCGTGTACCGCAGCACCGAGAGAGGCAGGAGGTTTCCAGCACGTTTCTGTATGAACTGGAAGCCCTGCCAGGTCAATGCAACCTCCGTTCAGAGGTAGGACGCTCTGAGCCCCAGATGTTAGGAGCAACTAATAACGGAGCCGTATCTTTTTCAGGTTGTGTCCCTTCCAGGGTACACCTGGCCAGATTCTGTTGGAAGCAAAATGCTGGATTAGATGCTCCTTCAAAGAAGACATCCTTTTCTTCGGCTTTCTCTAGACTGTACCCTCCAGATGTTTTGACCTTCAAGCACCTCCACATCCCCACCACGACTGCATTTGGAGGGCACCAGGCCGGAGAAAGCTGTTCTGACAGAAGACGACGATTGGAGCCGTGGAGGGGTGGGGGCAGAGCTTCTGGGGCTTCATCTAGTTTGGAGGGGGCTTGAGCTGTGCCCTGAAATCAAGATTCAGAGCCGAAGCAGCCCATCTCCATCTACCTGGAAAGCCCCCAACATTTCTATTGCCGGACACATCATTGGGCACGGAGCTGCGCGTACCGTGCTCCCATCTCCGCGTCTGACCCACAATCTTTTTCATACCCTGCAGTTAGATCAGAGAAGGGCTGCAAAAGGGCCACAGGGCACCATACAAGAGCCCTTCATTGCAGAGGAGCCAGACAACCTAGTAGGCAAGGTTGGGGGGCGGGGGGGCTATGAGTATTAGGTTACATTAGGAACCCTGTGGCAGCGTTTGCACACTATGCTAAGCACAGTGAGGCTTGGGGGCTTAACGGATGGCGTGAACCCAACTTGTTCGGCTAGTTCACGATTCAGTGCATTGCACAAAACTGGAAAAATGGGTTAACTGAAACACTGGGCAAAGGGTCTTGTGCGAAGGCAACTCTGACATATTTCCCAAGACCTTCAAATGTAGGCCAAGCATTCGCTCTGCCCAGAACCATCCTAGGCAGGCAGTATTCCAGAGGCTTTGGAAAAATAGCAACTCCCCAGGTTTGCTTCTGATCAGAGGCATGGACGTCTGGCAGAAAGAGCTGCCCCACTGAGGAGGAGGTCTCACGAGTGCAAATGGGTTCTCAGTAGCACTTTGCAACATGAAGAGGATGAGGGGCCAACACTGGAGTAAATTCCTCCTCATATTCCATCTGAATCTCCTTTAATTTCAACCCTTTACTCCTTGTTCTGTACTCATTCTCTACAGCAGTGTTTCTCAACCTTGGGAACGTTGAGATGGGTGGACTTCAACTCCCAGAATTCCCCATGCTGGCTGGGGAGCTGAAGCCTGGGAGCTGAAGTCCACCCATCTCAACGTTCCCAAGGTTGAGAAACACCGCTCTACAGAGAATGCAGATAATCCCTTTTTAAAGAGTTGTCGACCACTGTACTAACTTTTCTTTGTTACTGAATCTCTTCTTCATCTTTTTAGCAAGCGAGATACCCAGCTGATTTAACAGGTAGAAATTGGTGCCATTTCAGTTTTGTGAGTTGTTGGGATGAATAGGGCCATTGCTAGATCTTGCCTGCACTGGATATTGCTATTATCGACTTCTGTTCGCACCCCCCTCCCCAAATACTGAGAGAGCAGGAAGGTGGGGTCAGAATGTGTCAGAATAAATAAATGAATGAAATTGAGAGCCTTGTCTCCAGGAGTTCAGGATCTGAATGGGAATGGAGGAGTGTGAATGCAGCAAGAGCGATTCGGAGAGAGGCCTGGGTGCCAAGCATTTATCCTGCCTTCACCTAAAGCCTTCTGAGCGTAGCAGTCATAATGAATTCCTTATGCTGGATTGGCATTTTCTAAAGAGGCCTCTCCCTTCACCCCAGCTGTGGCCAATCCTCTTCACCCCATCTGTGGTCCTCCTTCAGAAAACCCTTCCCTGTGGCTCCCAGCGAGGAGGAAAAGGCGCAGAGTCATTTTTCCTTCCTAGCAAGCGAATCCTGGAGCCGAGAGGCTGTTTTCTCCATCCGCTGTCAGGCATTCACGCTGCTGCTTCAATTCCATCCTGGTTTGTCCAAAACACATTGTTCCCATTCATGACATTTTGGGCCAGGGTGTGGGAGAGCTCTTACTTCCCTTTGATGAGGATGAGGACTGAGTCAGCACCACCATCTTGATCTTTCCCAGGATAAGAACGCGGCACCGGAGCCTGCTTTACAGGGAGTCAGATTTAACCCCTCTTGCTCACGCTGAAGGCTTCCCAGCCCGTCCCCCTTCCCCGGCCCTGCCAGGGGATTCCAGGAGCGAAGCTGGGGCCTTGGGTTTGCACCACTGAAGCTTGGGCCCAGGATTATGGTCCCCACTTGTGTGGGCTTGTTCGGTCTTGCCTAATTTAGTACTGCTTGGGAGGAAATGCTACACACACACGGAGGAAGACTTGCGGTTCTCATTTCCTTCCCACCCCCTCCAGAATGAGGAGTTGCATCACAGAAGTAGGGAGGAACCAGAATTGTTCCCCACTCCATCACACAAAGCAACTACTGCTTAACCAAGAGAAGGAGAACAACATCCCCCACCCTGTGGGATCTAGAACAGCAGACGAAACAGGGAACCGACTCTGCCTCCTGCAGCAAGGACGGTTGCGTCGCCTTGTCCAGGTGGCCGCAGCCCCGCAGGGCAAATGTTCCCCAGGCATCCAGCAACACTGAAGGTCTTCCGGTGCACCAACAGGCACGTGCCCATGCACACCGGTTTCACATCACTTCCGATGGCTGGTCCCCTTCCACGCCTGCACTGTCTCCCCCTGTAAGCCTCAAGCAAGCTTCCCGCAGAGAGAAAACAAGCTTTTCCGTCCTCCAAGGACAATGTATGATAGTCTTCTTCGGCAGCTCCAGCCTGGCTGCACGTGAGCTGCTCCAGTTTAATTTTCTTCCAGCTGGGCGAGCTGTTGGAACTGCAGCAAGCAGGCGGTAGGAGTCCTTGACCATTGATCTCACAGCAGATAAGTATGGAACTGGGGGGGCGGGATCCTGTTTCTGCCACCCGAAACTGAATGCAGGTTGAATCTGTTTCTTCCTCTCTCACCACACACAGCGGCACAACCCATTGGCACCGTCCCAGCAGGAAACCTGGTGTGCCTTTTAAGGCAATCCATGCAAATAATAGGAACAGAGCCCAAGCAAAGGTCTGAGATAATCCGACTCCTTTTCAGAACTTTTACCTGACTGAAAGGGTGGAGAAGCCCATTGGCAGTGGCCATGGAGCTCCCAGAATTCCCCATCCAGCACGGTCACGTTGGCTAGGAAGTCTGGGAGTTGCAGTCCTGGCCTATCCAGAGAGTGCCAGGTTGGGAAAGTGCCCCCGTTTCAGCTACCACCTGAGAACTTCTAATGAGAGAGGAGAAGAATCGGATTAATCTTGATGTCGAGAAAGGGAGAAGAGAAGAGAAGAGAAGAGAAGAGAAGAGAAGAGAAGAGAAGAGAAGAGAAGAGAAGAGAAGAGAAG